TTCAGTAGTAGTTATGACGTTAACTTTATCCTAGATTCCAGTTTCTTCAGTAGTAGTTATGACGTTAACTTTATCCTAGATTCCAGTTTCTTCACTAGTAGCTATGACGTTGACTTTATCCTAAATTCCAGTTTCTTCACCAGTAGCTATGACGTTGACTTTATACATAGAATTTTAATTTTCTTCACTTTTTAAGAAAAACCATTGTAGCTCAAAATAAAGAAATATTATTTAGTACTTACCAGAGAAGTAAACAGTACTCCAGCACAGAATAAGAAGAGACAGATAATAAATATATAGATGGAACGGTGATTCCGGATTTGTTTGTAAGGAAGATGTTCTAGGGCAGCAGCTGCAAGAGTAAGAATCATAGTATTCTGTATCTTCAAGCTTAAGCCTATGACGAATGAAAACAGCACAAAAGCCCATAGTACCGACCATGAAAGGAGCGATAATCCTGCTGACATCGTGACAAACCATACTCCAAGACCTAATCGGATGAAAAACAAAACGCTTTTATGGCAGAAGTGAAGTAAAGGATATATATCAGTGGTGTAAGAAGAATATGGAGGTAAGGCGGGGGCCTGCCCCTTCCAATAATTTCTGAAAGGGGAGAATATAGGTTGTCCTCCAATATTGGTAAAAAAGGTATATTTTCTTTACATGAAATTATAAGCCCACTTAAGCATAAAATGATTACATGAGAGAGACACAAGTATAAATGTTTTATTTCTATTGAAATGTTAAAAGTAACTTCAAAGCTGCTTATTAGCGAATATTTCTAAAGAAAGAACAAATCGATTAGTAACAATTGACTTTTATAAAAAAAATATAAATTAATCCTTAAAAATATTATCTATACAATTAAAAGTACCGTGTGAGAGTGCGTGTGAAGCTTTTTAAGTTTCGTTAAGTTGTGCAGAAATGAGTCGGAGCAGGGAAGTACGGACGACGCAATATATGCGTAAGAGAGGGGTGGGTGTAGAATAGTACTATTCATTGCAAAATAAAAGGCAGTCGGAGAATGGATGTGTCGTCCCTCATAGCCCCACCTCAGTGTTAAGATTTTATGTGTTAATTTCATTTATTTAAACAACTTAAAGTACACTGGTACCATTACACTGTCGAGTGTTAATACTTGCCCATGATACTCAGATTTTGAAAGCGTCACTAAATCTGGTGACTGTTAGTATACAACTCGATTGGTTTGTTTTTTTTATCAGACCATTCCGCTCGAAGTGTCTTTTGTAGTAGAGGTGTATGGTGGGTATCACGTGCTATGGAATAGGTTTAACGTCGCAGTCAGTGAGATGCTCCGCTCGGCCACCAAATTCGTTCAGAACTCTACGTGAAGTGTAAGTAGGTCACTTAACTCTTCTAATTACTTTAAATACACTTCACTGTCTTTACCTTTTACAAGCTTTGTGCAATCAAATACAAAATACCACAACTAAAAAAATGTTACGTACGCGAAATACGAGTTTTACCCCTAATTAAAATTTAAATCAAAAATCAGTTTGGTTGCTATTCAACGTTACTTTAAATTTCTAAATAGAGATTTATTTATAACAACACTCTTTAATCAAAATTGTTTTCATTCCGAAAAATAGGTAAAAACATATAAGTTAAAAAAACTAAATTTTGATATAAACATAGAAATATTTTTACGGTCGAGGGGAGCTACTTAGATTATTTTTCATTCGTGATTTATGCTAGTTTGATCTTGATCTAAGATTTCCAGTTCAATGTCTTATATGAAATTGTTTGAAGATTGGAAAAGTTGAAACAAATACTTAATAGAAGTAGTTAAGTAAGCATATGACAGTAAAAAAACAATCACTTATTCCTTGTTATTGTGTCCTAACCTAACATACATAATTAACACCTTGTTTAACTGAAAGTTATATTTCTTCTTGTTCTAATTACTGTTATAAAAAGTTAAAATCAGAAAAATAATGTAAAAACGAAATTAGTCCGGCTTTGGATATTTGTATTCAAGAGTTTTTTTGACATTTCTTCTTTATGATAAAATATAAAACCTAAGTTTCTACAGTCTCAAGAAAATGCAAACAAAACAAAGTTGACAACAATACAGTTCAAAGAGAAAAAATTAACTGTAAGCAAAACATTTATAACATCATTTCTAAAAAACCACCGATAATTCGGAGGAAGTTCCAAAACATTAATTTCAGAAGAAAATTGAAAACATTTAAATTACAAAACTGTTTGTTTGTTTTGAATTTCGAGCAAAGCTACACGAGGGCTCTCTACGTTAGCCGTTCCTAATTTAGCAGTGGGAAAGCAGATAGTAATCACCATTCACCGCCAACTCTTGGGCTACTCTTTTATCAACGAATAGTGGGATTGACTGTCACATTATAACGCCCCCACGGCTGAAAGGGCAAGTACGTTTGGTGTGACGGGTATTCGAACTCGCGACCCTCAGATTTCGAGTCGAGCGCCCTAACCACCTATCAATGCCGGGCCTACAAATTGCAAGAACGAGAATCGAAGCTTAGGCATTCATAATTAAAGCAAAAATTGACAGTGAAATGGTTAATAACAAGAAATTAACAGAAAACACCAATAATAAATGAATCATTTATTGCAAAACAGAAGAAAATAGTGGAAGAATTAGGGAGAGAGGTAGTTTTAAATCACGAAATATATCATAATATTAAAGAATGCAATCTACTTGTAGAATAATTCATGGCAGTCTTCAAATGGACCCAGAAATACGAATAGCTGGTATAACAAACATACATATCGAAACCAAAGAAGATCTTCTTAAAGAAGTTATTATTATGAAGTACGGTAGTATTTTGTAATAGTGAGGATTGTGATGAAACAAAATGGCAGCCATAAAAATCACCCGTTTAAAACCTCCTTTAAAATTACTATTTCGCATTATTGGCTAAGCAAAACTAAAGCTTATTGTAATTATAAAGTCGCCTAAATAGCTATATACGTGTTTATGAAGTGAATCAAAATTTAACTATTTCAACGAATTTCATCTAAGCAAGTAAGAAAGTGACTTTTCCAGAGAAGCGTACAGAAGAAAGGACTAACCTTATCGCTCTAATGCTTTCACAAAACTCTTCCGTCTTGGGTCCCAATGATTTCTGTGTTGTATCGAAAATGATACGTGTGTGTGTGTGTGTGTATAAAAAAACGGACAATGCGCTACTTTGAGTATATATCAGGTCGTCAAGATGTTAATGTCGCTTTTTTTAGAACAACTTGTATATCAAAACATTTATTAAATGAAACAGTCTCCATTCTTATCGATGATGCTTTTCCATCTCACAAGCAGATTGTTAATGCCCTGATTAAAGAAGTCACTTGGCTCTGAAGCAAAAAACATGTCAATGTCTTCTTTAACACCTTCTACATTTGCATACGTTTTCCCATTAAGAGGGTGTTGCAGCGAACGAAAAAGATGGTAATCTGATGGTGCCATATCTGGAGAACATGGTAGGTGGGGGAGAACTTCCCAACCCAATTCCATAATCTTGTGTTGCATCAAACGTGCCACATGTGCACGTGCATTGTCGTGGAGAAGAAGAACACCTTTCCGATTGACGAAAGTGAAAAGCGTTTATGATGAAGAGCTTGATATAAACGTTCCAGTTGCTGTCTATAGATCTCTGCGTTAACAGTTCGCTGTGGATTAAGAAGTTGGAAATGAATTCCTCCTTTGATGTCCCACCAAATGAAAACCATTACTTTCTGCGGGTTGAGTCTAGGTTTTTGGGTCGGAAGTGGTTTTGTCAAGGACTGAGCCATTGTTTTTGGCGGTTAATATTCGCATAGACAATCCATTTTTCATCACCGGTGACAGTTCTGTCCAATTACGCGCATTACGCGCCAGAAGAGACGAAGCAACGTTCACACGTTGGAAACGATGATCATCGGGTAGTTCGTGAGGCACCCAAACACCTCCTTTATGGACTTTTCCCATATTCCTTATATGTTTACATATTGTTTCATAAGAGACATTCAATTCCAGGGCCATTTCATGAGTGTGTTGCCTTGGGTTAGACTCAACAAGCATCTTCAGAGCATCAACATCAATTCCAACATGCTTGCCCCTGCCATCACAGTTTTCAAGGCTAAAGTGACCTGAAAGAAATTTGCTGAACCATCGTTGACACTTACGAACGTTCAAAACATTTCCATAAACTGCTTTTATATTCTTTGTGGCTACAGAGGCGTTGTTTTCTTTCTTGTATTCAAATAGCATTACATACCGAATGTGTGTCTCGTCGTGTGCCATCACTATAAGGGATCAGAATATACTAAACTTTACACCTCATATAGGCTACACTAACGTGACGTTTAAGCAGTTCGTGTAACTAGTATACGTGATGTACGTTTTTTGGGAGTGGTTAATGAAAGTGTTCCAAAACTCGACATTAATCTCTTGACGACCTGATATGTCATTCACTATTCGTAACAAAAAATAAATATATATAAATGAACTCTTAGCACCTATAAAATGATCTTTAGAAGAAGTAATAGTAATGGTAAAGAATGCCGTGCTGCCCTCTAGTAATATAGAAAATAAACTTCAAGTTAGAAAGATCATCAAATTGTTTAACCAAACAACATGTTCTAGGCTAGAAATATAGATGTTTCAACAAATGCACCTCGATTAATTTTAATTTAAGTGTTTAATTCCTACGTTCAAAGTATACTCAATCTGAATGTTTTGTTGTTGTTGTTGTTTTTGTCAATACGTGACTGAATACATTTTCAGAACTCTCAGATTACATACTATTTTTATTTTCCAAATGTCTACTGTTGTTTTTCTGGTATATCTTCCAGAATATGGATAATTGGTCTTTCGATGTGTTTTCTGTGAACCAAGTATCCAGTGGTCAAATCCTTCGCTACGTTACCACTGACCTACTAAATCGATATGGTTTAATCTCGAAGTTTAAGGTAAGGAGGGAAGTAAAATGAGCTGCTTAAATCACATAATCTTATATTATTTTTAAGAAGGTTTTCAAAAAGGGTAGTATCAATTATAGTAAAAATGCATAAAAGAAATGTTTGATATTTGTATCATGAACTTATATGTTATCAAACTTTTTAATCAGAATAAATCTATAGAGAAGACGGAGATAGAGTCTTAGTTTGCTAATTACAGCATTGTCTACGATATTCTGTTTTATCAATTAGTTTAAGCTATAAAGACATCTGTAAGTGAGAACTTCCTAAGTATAACATACTACAAGGATAGGATGTAATGATAAATTTGAACTTTGTTTCATATATCTAAGTGTTAAAGAAGGCGAACTCGTATTAACCATTATGAACTCCTTAGATAATCTTTGAAATCGTAATATTATTACGATGATCACTGTCAGTCTTAAACAGCTATTTGTAAAGCTTTGTATACGACTTATTTCAAAATTTGCTTTGTGTGAAATTTGTCGAGTTCAGTTTTAACATGCTGTGGTGGCAATAAGATATTGCTTAAGAGAAGCTTGGGAGGTAACAGTCAACTACATGTTTAACTGAATACAATGTAATGTGACATTGACTATGTTGAGTAGAAAAATATGTATTTACAAAACAGATCTTTACGTTAAAATGTAATGCATATATTGAAATAGATTTCAACAACTTTGCTTTGATTGTAAAAATAATACTAATAATAACGGGACGTTCACGCTTTCCACGGAATGGATTTTAAACCTTACGAAGGTTGTTTTTTTGTGAGCCTTCTCTTGATTATTATTTACTTTATATGGCAACAACAATAGCAACAGAAGTTATGAATACATGCTTTTTCGTTATGGATATACATTAATTCATTATTTCTTTAGTTTTAGTTTTAATGTACAACATTGCGTGTTTTTTACATCATGTATTATTTATATTGGTATTTGTTTTAGTGATTTATTTTTATTTAGCGTCTATTGTATTTTTATTTCCAGATTCCAGTCACAGTTCTTGAAAACTTTCTGATCCACGTAGAGTCAGGTTACGGTAAATACAAGAATCCTTACCATAACAACATTCATGCTGCTGACGTCACACAGACCGTCCACTACATGCTCTGTCAGGCAGGATTAGCGGTAAGTAGTAGAACAAAGTGTAAACTCAACTTAAACCACTATAAATAATTCTTATATATCATTACTGGCTTGACTCAAAAGAACATGATGATAAATCAAATGCCACTTCGATTTACTGAGGTATTAATTATCTGATTCGTCTTTTTTGCTTTTTCTCTTTCTCAAAATATAATCAATTAATTTAAATAACGCTTGAAAGTAACATTTTGCAATTGCATTGCAATTCTAATAAACCATAGTTATAACAAAAATATGTGTATGAGAAGAGGGGACCGTCTTTGGTTAATTACAAATTCTGGAGCATTGTGTATAAATAGCTTGTTTTACTGTGCCTTCATTAATTTCTAGCTGTAATTGCATATATAGTCAAATATAATCTTTCATTTCTTCATTGTAGGTTTCACTTCAAAACTTGTAATTGATAAATAGTACGTTAAAAAGTGCCTTAATCAAGTTACTTGATCTAAACTTTCAATATGTTTGACAGAAATAAAATCACTTCATATCAGGTCTATCATTCTATATATTTTTTAATATTGTGTTGGACGACGTTTCGGGTTCTCTATTGACACATTCTTTATTTTAATATGTTCCTGTTTACTTTAGTTTTTTCGCAACGTTTTAGGTTTTTCAAAGTTTTTATCCTTTGACTTCTGTGTCGATATAATAACTTCTTGACAACGTTTTGGACTTTTCCCCAAGCATACAATAGTCCAATATTCTATAAGCAAACATCGTATGTTGGTCTTATTTTTTTCCCAGTTCTTTTCTTATTGTTGATTATCTTCAATTCTTTAGTTTGCTTTCTTAATAACATTTTGTTCGCTCAATTTTTTTTTATTTATTATTGGTTATCTTTTCCGTTTTACTCTGTAATTTGGTTTCTTAAAATATTTCAGGTTTTCATGCAGCAAACGTGTTTTATTGTTGTTGTTCATTTCTATCTTATTGTTCCGGTTTTTTGGCGATGTTCGGGTTGTCTGTTTATCTCCGCCACCGTTTGTGTTGTCAGCAGAATTTCTCAAAAACTGCTAACGGATTTGGACGAAAGTTGGTATACATTTAGACTATGACTCAACTTAGAAGTGGTTAGTTTTGGGAAGGTCAAGGACGCAGCAAGCTCACAAAATACTTATTTGTCAACATGGGGATTGGTTTTTCACACTATTTTGCCCTATAACTCATTCAAAACTGATCAGATTTTGATGAAACTTGGTGGACATATGTAGAATATTATTCCTCATTGTTCTGGAAATAATGGTCTGTGTCCGCTGTTAATGACGGACATGCGGACACATTTTCGTATTTTTTGAGAGCCGATTATGATCAACGCTGACCCTGGGGTGTTGCAAACTGCAAAAGGGAGCACTAATTTTTCACGTGTGATTTGTTGATTTCACTGCTAATAAATGTGTATGTATATCTTTCTTTCTTTTTTAAAATCAAAATTACAGTAATAAAGGGGATTACATTAGAGGATTATTTATTGCTGTCACACAAGGTAAGTTTTACAAAAATACCTGAGAAGGGGTGATAATTAGAGAGGGGGGCTTTAATTAGGGGCAATACGGTATGTTGGACTGTTTGACAAGATTTCAGATCAAATCCGAAGACTTCATGTTTTGCTTATAGAATACTGGACTATTGTATGCTTGACTTTTAATAAATTAAACGATCAATTGATTTTTATCTATACATGAAGCCTAAAACAACTACAAATGGGACAATTAGTTTTTACCTACTTTACTAGCGTTTCTAACTTTACAGAACTGGTTGACGGACGTGGAGGTGTTTGCTACTTTGTTCGCCGCTGTTATACACGATTACGAACACACTGGAACAACAAACAACTTTCATGTTATGTCCGGGTAAGAACTTTGTGGCTTGAATTTAGATGTTCTATCTCAGGTTCGGATGAGTAATTTGTAGCTTGACTTTAGATGTTCGATCTCAGGTCCAGGTAAGTATTTTGTAGCTTGACGTTAGATGTTCTATCTCAGGTCCGGGTAGAGTACTTTGTAGCTTGACTTTAGATGTTCTATCTCAGGTCCGGGTAAGTATTTTGTGGCTTGACTTTAGATGTTCTATATCATGTCCGGGTAAGTACTTTGTGGCTTGACTTTAGATGTTCTATCTCAGGTCCGGGGTAAGTACTTTGTGGCTTGACTTTAGATGTTCTATCTCAGGTCCAGGTAAGTACTTTGTGGTTGACTTTAGATGTTCTATCTCATGTCCGGGGAAATAACTTTGTGTCTTGACTTTAGATGTTCTATCTCAGGTCCGGGTAAGTACTTTGTGGCTTGACTTCAGATGTTCTATCTCAGGTCCAGGTAAGTACTTTGTGGCTTGACTTTAGATGTTCCATCTCAGTTTAAAAATAAGAATGATTTTATAATTTCTGTGGACACAATTTTCTCTTGTTGTCATTTTGTGAATAAATATATGTCTGTGCAAAACTGTAATTATATTTTTTTCACTACAATTAACAAAATTAATGCTGACGTTTTTGTTTACAATTATTTTTCCGAAAAAATTAAGTAGTTCTCCACAAAGAAATACTGCTTCCTCCGATAAATACGAATTTTATTTACTTCCATGGGTTCGTCATGTTTCTATATGATATTATAGATGAAAAAGTATTCGGTTTTAAAGTGGCAATTTCCTTCCACAGATCAGAAATGGCATTGTTGTATAACGATAGAGCGGTTCTAGAAAATCACCATCTAAGTGCAGCTTTCAGGTTGTTGAAGGACGAAAATCTCAATGTGCTTCAAAATCTTAGCAAGGAAGAATACAGGTGAAGTACCTAAACAAATTGAATTCTAAACTAATAGCTCCAACAAAGAAAAATGAAAACCAACAGTTTTAAACTTTTCACCTCTATTTAAAGATAGCCCCTATTAGTATAAATAAATGTTGTTGGTTTTTAGGATTAGGTTAAATACTGTATATTAAAATTACACGTGTACATATACTCTCTGTATTTTTAATGGTAAAGTTAACCGTTGATTTACTTTGAAGTTTTAGCTTATTTTTAAATTTTGTTCATTGTATTTACAAGGTGTTTTTTTTTTTGCAATACCTTAAATTGTTTGATTTCAATACAGAGATTTCCGAGGGTTGGTAGTAGAGATGGTGCTTGGAACAGATATGTCGTCACATTTTCACCACCTCAAAACAATAAAAACGCTAATAACTCACAAAGAGCTCAAGTAAGTTATTCAGTAAATCATAGCCGTGAATGTTGTATCCTGTATTCCAAGCACAAAGTAATTACTCAACACAATAATGTTGACTTTTCTGCGTATAATTTAAGCCGCTAGAGTTATTGGGTTGCAAACTTAGTATTCGTTCGTTATGCTTAACTGTGATGTTTAAACATTTTGTGAACATCGAATACATTGGTTTGCTATTTTTATTAATATATAATATTGTTATTGATAAGTTTGAGGGGTAATAGGGCTAACAAAAACAACATACCTTATTTATATATATATATAGGTAACCCTCAAAACAACTGATAACACTAAAGTCAGAACAAAGTGATTGAGGTATGTAGAAGCAACACATTTATACTAATCTTTTGCATGTATATTCCAAAGAATACAAAGCGTATATAAACCACCTCATTTAAAAGTTATCTTGAACGTGTTAGTCGATTAATCTGCTACATATCTGAAACGATTTTCTGTTTCATCAATAACATCATAAGCAAGTTGGTGTTATAAAACTTTACGGAGTGGTTGAATCATGCAAAGTTTTGAGCCCTGGTTAGCATGTTCGGATTGTGAATCGGAGTATTCATGGTATGAGGTCCGATTCTACAAAAACACGCTCCAGGAATTAGCTGTTGGCTAGCTATCTTCCCACTTATATATTTGTGTAACTTTGCATAAAATTTTCCAAGAAACAACTAGAGCTTAAAAAGAAAAATATATTAATCGTACTTCATCAATTATGATGGTTATAAAGTAATATAGTTCTAATTTTTTTCAAAGTTATTTACATTCATATAACTTCAGTTTCCACACTGGCTTACTCTTGGCTAGGATAACGGTTTTTGATCTGTAATATAATTGTCTTAACTGAGTCATATGGGGGCCACGTGACTTAAACAACAGCTATCAAACACACCTTTTCCTAGCCAGCACTAATCCAGTAAACTTTGTTTCTGAATAACAGCTTTTACACATTTAAATATTCTTTAGTCTTGAGTTTTTTTTATTAACCTGTAATGTGTATTTATATAATTCATGTACCACAAAACATTAAACTGTCAATTTGAAGTGAGCTGCTTTACTTGCAGTATAGACAAGGCAAAAAGCATGGCTCTTGTTCTACACTGCTGTGATATCAGCCATCCGAGTAAGGAATGGAGGTTACACTTCCCTTGGACGAAGCTTCTCATGGAAGAATTCTTTCAACAGGTAGTAGTCCTACTATATATCTGTGATTCGTGTATTTTAAGTGTGTTTTGGTGTGTAAATTGACATTACTACTCTACTTTTGCTCTTCATTTGATTCAGATGTTTTATCATTGCGAATAGGTCTATTCTAATAAAATATATTGTTCAGGTAAGTCCACTCACAATATGTAAATGTTTAAATTTTAGTTTTGATGGAAGTATTTTCATATTATTATTATTATTAAATGATCAGCTGTTTGCAGATCTTAATCACTATGGGTAATACGACCTAATTGAGCTGAAATAGACGTTTTAAGTTAATTCAGATGTTTATGGACAATAAAGTATATAATGTCACATATATCTAAATTCATAAACACATTATAAGGAAATAAACAAAGTTAGAATTCATTAAGTGAAACAACAAAGCTGACTTTTCGCACACCCGTCAAATAGCGCTAAAAGGCGTTCGCTGCCGCATAACAAATTAAGTATAAAAACATTAAACATCCAAGAGGTGCCAAGTAGCAGTCACAGTGTCCCAAACACATATGCTACAAGAGAAATTTGGGGCTTTAAAACATAACTGTCTTGGACCCACCGGTGTGTCACTTGGTCCGTAACTAAAAGTCAGTTTTGACTCACCGGTAGGACATAGGGCAGTGAACACGTTAAATTCTAAAGACCATTAGTCACAGCTTAACTCTAATGACTACCGTCCTAACAAAATCGAAAAGATATTGGCTGTTATTAGCAACATTTCAGCCAAGATATTTCAGTTTATCAAACCAAATACCTTGATAGTATGGATGGGCATTCGAATGACTTTCAAGTTCAGGCCAACTTTTTTTACAGAAGATTTTATATATTATTTTCATATATTTTCTTAAATGTTATTCATAAAATTTGGGTACAAGTTCCTATATTTCTATTACCACTCATAAAATGAGGTTTTTGTCCCCATAGGAACCTTTCTTACAAGCTTTCAGCCCTCTCTTAAGGTCATCATCAGGACAGCCTGACGAGAGATATGCGTAAAAGTGAAATTGAGTTACACTACAAAAGTATTCTACGTAATTGTTATCTTAACTAGAAAATAATTTAAAAATGGCGATAAATACAACTTACAATTGTAGTGGTGGAACTTTAAAATACATCATATAAGTGTCAGTGAATTAAATAGCGAAATAAAAAGTCCACAAACAAACACAAATTTATACCTTACATTAAATATGGGAAAGAAATGACACTGAATCAAGTGTAGAAACGAAAATTCTATTATAATGCATAGCATTTAGCTACAGCGTTTCAAATAATCTTAATAACTAGTTCTAAATCGTGCCAATTCATAATCCATAATCTTGTGGTATTCTCAGATGAGCTACAGCGTTTCAAATAATCTTAATAACTAGTTCTAAATCGTGCCAATTCATAATCCATAATCTTGTGGTATTCTCAGATGAGCTACAGCGTTTCAAATAATCTTAATAACTAGTTTTATACCGTGCCAATTCGTAATCCATAATCTTATGGTATTCTCAGATTAAAGTAATTTCCCAAAAAAAGAATTGACTAGCAGCAACTTTGGCCCAGTGAACTTTTTGACTGAGGAAAGCCGACTTAAGTGAACTTTTTGTCTGAGGAAAGCAGACTTAGTTTCCAATGCTAGTCTGGACACTTTGTATAAAATAAGCAAAATCAATTTTTGAATTACAAGAACACAGAAAACTGAGTGTGTGGATAATCCTTCCTACCAGAAGTACTTTCTTTCTCTCGAGTTAAACTTTCGTTGAACTAAACACAATGATCTCAAAAACAAGTCTTCTTTCTTGATTTTTTAGTGGGAAACTAGACTAGAAAGCGCGCAAGAATTTAGAATGAATACTCTTTGAGCAGGGGACAGCGCTACCTCGTGACCTCCTGTTCTCAGACAGCATTGAGTATTGATGGGCTACCTCCTTGATCTGGGGACAGCGTTACCTCGTGATCTCCTGTTCTTAGGCAGCATTGAGTATTTATGAGCTACCTTCTTGATCTGGGGACAGCGTTACCTCGTGACCTCCTGTTCTCAGGCAGCATTGAGTATTGATGGGCTACCCCTTTGATCGAGAACAGCATTACCTCGTGACCTCCTGTTCTCAGATAACAACTGAGTATTGATGGGCTACCCCCTTGGCGAACATCATAGTCGATAAGCAAAAAAGGTTTAAGCATGAATGAATTTAATCCAAATACCTGATCCTATGTTAGAACATTCCTATCAGTCAAGTAGACATTTCTCGTGTGAGAACAAAGAAACGAAAAAGACAATTGACGACTTTTTAGACCACCAGTAGCCACCATGAATGTGCGGAAACTACATAATTGAAAATTTTGAATAATTCTTAACTACTAAAGAACGTAAAAAGCCCATGATCTGCCCGCATACCACAACTTCTATCAAATGCTGGTCCACGTTTTTCTTCTACTTGGACAGTGTTTCTACATACCATTTGGCAGAGAGTTGGTTCACTAAATCAGGTGTGTGTGTGTGTGTGTGTGTGCAAAAAAGAAAACAGAAATAGCTGTTTCGTAAAAAAATGTTATACTCAAGTTAGATTTAACCTAGATTATCAATTTAAAACTAGATCTGTGTATTTTTAACTAAATGAGTTGAAATTACCATTTTGGTTTATATATTTCGTTAACCATTATTAATTTATTTTTAATGGAATCAACTTATATAGCCTATTCAGTTTTACTTTGTCATTATATTCAACGGAACATTTCTTCCAACTATAAGTACGCTTTTACATCTACCATGTAAACTTGATTTTATAGCTAGAATCGTTCTTACTTACAGTATTGTTGTACTGTGGTATAGTTCCATTATCATTCATGTTTATCAACCGCCTGCACTCAGTGACCCTGAAATATAATTTAACATTCTTTTCAAAGCTGTTACTTTTGTGTTTGCAATTCTTGACCTGACGACATAACATAGTTATAAATTTGTCGAAATCTTGTTTTAGGTGGGTTAATTATTTGTTTGTTTATTTAACTAACTTACAATAAGTATAAACGTTGTTCCTCCAAATGTACGTTACAAAAATGAGAAAGGTGGTCTTTCAAGATACTGTTGACACTAAATGTTCGTTTATGGATGTGAAACAAAGACAACTGGTATTAGACGTAATCAACTGATATGTGAAAGATCGAATGTTACTTTACTGCACAACGAAGTAAATATTTAAATATTTTCACTTGAATAAAATCACATCTAGAATGATTGAATTACTATTGATTGATGATATTTCGGATGTGTTAGTAATATACAATCATTCAGTTTCAGTAGTTACTTATTGTTAGTGTGTTTTGTTTATAGCTACCTTTCGTTCTTTTGCAGGGCGACAAAGAAAGAGAACTAGGTCTGCCCTTTTCACCACTTTGTGATAGAAACACAACGTTAGTAGCTGAATCTCAGATCGGTAAGAGGAATCGCCACATTAAAGATAACATTACGTGCAGATGAATGTACTGAGCTGATCTCAGAAATGTTCAAGTTTTCCCAACTTGATATTGATAGTCAAATATAGTCTACACAACCAACAACCAGCTCGTGTGGATGCTAATACCATTTTACAAAGTGTCTCTCAATCACTCTGTTGTAATTCCAAGAAGTTTGCAATGCAAACCTAAACAGAAGGTTTACAACACCAAAATGTAATTAGAACTATGATAACAAAAATAAACGATTTTTTTACGAAACAATGCAAACCTAAACAGAAGGTCTAGATATGTAATTACAACACCAAAATGTAATTAGAACTATGATAACAAAAATAAACGATTTTTTTAT